AGCCACACCCATGTTAAAGATTATTTTACAATACTGACTGATTAGTACATTGTGATTATGGAGAGTTGGAATGTAGCATATCCTTAATCAAATTATCTTGGACTATTTTTAACCCCTTAATAGCCATCCATTGCCCACTTCTGTCTGACTTACTATCCTTGTGACTGTCACATGAAACCTTTTGGGATATATTAACTTAATTGAGCAACAGCTTTCACCAAATAAAAAGCTAACCATGTACCAGACAACATCTGAAACCTGTGGCAGGAATTTCCCTGATTATTATAACTCAACTTCCTCATGCTTTACCCTGTATTGGAAAAGTGCCTTGATCTAGACATTCTTTTGTTCTATAGTTATAAAAATGTCAAAAATGCTGGAACATGGTATTTGGAATAACCAGAAGCCATGTTCTCAGACTATGGAGTTATGTTTGGCTTTGTTTTATAAGCTTTCTTTTATTCTCTTTCAAGTAAGACCTCTGCTTTTGTGTCAAAAACAAAACAAAACACCTTAGAATTAACAAATGAATTCAGCAAAGATGCAGGATGCTAGGTCAACAGAAAAAAAACCAGTTTTACTTCTATATACTAATGAACAATCTGAAAAAGAAATTAAGAAAATAATTTCACTTACAAGAACAATAAGAATACAATATTAATTTGACCAGTCAGGTGAAAGACTTCTACAACTCTACAACAAAAGGTACAAACACTGCTGATAGAAGGAAGGCAAATAAATAGAAATACTTTTATACTAATGAATTAGAAAACTTAGCATTGTTAATATTTCAATACTACATAAAAACAATCTACATGATACTGCTTACATGTACTTACAAGTACTTAGAGTAGCCCAAATCATAGAAAACAGAATGGGATTGCCAGGAACTAGTGAAACGCATGGGGTGGTTGACGGCCATAGAGTTTTACCTTTATAAAACATAAGGAATTATACAGATAGTGAAAATGGGCACATGCCCCTATAAATATATTGAATTCCATTGATTTGTATTTTTTCAACTGGATAAGATGATGAATTTTATTTTGTGTACATTGTTTCACCACAACTGAAAACTAAAAAAATCAAATCCAGATTCCATAAAATTAAAGAGGAAAATTACCTAAAAATGTACAACATGAAAAGATGGATAAAAAAAGGAAAGATGGTGGTGTCTATATAGCACCCACGCTTCCTACCTCCTGTTTCCCGACCCTCATCACATCTATAAATAGCTAAGCTGTATGGGCAGATAAAGGCTAACTGTAGTTTACTTGTTAAATCTGGTTCCTTCATTCAATAGTTTAAACAACCCTATGCCCCTTATTCTTGAAGAATATGTAAATGGCTAATTCTAGAACTAAGCTCCTTAAACTTGTTGCCCAACCTGAATGTAAACCTTTGTTTTACTTCAATAAACGTGGATAATATTTTACAAAGGATTTATAGTATCTGTCAAATCCGGGAAGAAGCATAGGCAACTTTCTATTGGGTCATAGCCAAAACACTGCCATAATAAACCCTGAAGCTACAATCTTTTGCTCCCAATAAGCTTTTATGGTTAATGGGCCAAATCTGTACTGGTGAAATGCAGTGAAGTGTGTGGATGGAAGATGGTGCCTGCTGATGTGGGACAATTATGGGGCCATATGAAGGGAAGAGGGTTGCCAATTTGTACTTGCTAAGAACAAAGAGAGTCTGACAAATGCAGGAATCATGTTTACAATCAAGACTTGACTTTGTTGTAAACCATGGATAGGAAGGGTTACTGTGACTCTTTTTTAATCCTATGTTTTCATCTGATCACATTCAAATCTATACAGTACACCATAAACCAATACATCTTATTTATTAAAAGAACATTCCTGAGAAAAAGATAAGTACACCCAAACAGTATTATTTACTTAAAAAAAGATTTATTTATTATATATAGTGTTTGGACTGCATGTACACCTGTACACCAGAAGAGAGAACCAGATCTCATTATAGATGGTTGTGAGCCACCATGTGGTTGCTGGGAATTGAACTTAGGACCTCTGGAAGATCAGCCAGTGCTCTCACCTGCTGAGCCATCTCTCCAGCCCTTATTTACTTTTTAAACCCTTCAAATAATATAACTTTAAAAGCCATCAAAATTTTATGTATTTCTATTGTTAAGACACTTGAATACACTCTATCTTGAAAAGCCCAATACCATACTTTGTGTGTGTACCCTTTTTCTTAAGTCCCTCTCCTTCTTTCAATGCTTCTACTAAATCAATATTTCTTATCTTAATAAACTCTGCTTCATATAGTCTCAGCCTCAGGTTTTTGTTGTTGTTGCTGTTGTTTTGCAGTATAGTAAAATATTTTGGCTTCATTTGAGTAGAGGTCTCTAAAAGTACTCCCTGGCTGATACAAGTAGCAACTTGGGGTATAGCCCATTCTGCTACCCTTTACCACTCACAAATGCCATCTAATGCTTGTCTTCAAAATTCAAAATTTATTTCCAAAACACACTTCTCCGAACTCTATTTGATCAAATGGGTTTAATACAAATTTTCCACCGACCTGCATTTTATTTAAATTCACCCCTAGCCTTTTCCTGCTTGCTTTTTCAAAAACATTCTTTTATACATCCATTTGATCAAATTTCAGCTATATAAAATGGCAATAGATAAGAAATACACAGTCTCTAATAGTGATATATATATACCCCAAAATCACAAACATTCCTTTCAGACACTCTATCCTTCAGGTAATACTAAATAACATTCTTTAGGATAATTAATACAAAATATATTTAAAAATTGTTTTTCAGGAGGAGCTATTGCAAGTACAGGTTTACATATTACTTCACAATCAGACATTTATTCTATGTCAGACTTATTGTCTTTTGGATATATTTTGACTCAGCTTAAAAGCTGTCAGCCACGGTAACTGTGCCAGGTGCCTCTAACATGGCTTCTAGTGATTTTTTGCTTCTTGGGCCTCAAGGCCTATGCTATCCTCTGACCATCTAAACTGGGCTGGATTTAAGACTCCTAACAAATACAAAATGGCAACAGTGATAGAGTATCACTTCTAAGGTTGGATTATAAATTACAGGTGCCTTCCTTCAGTTTGGATGATCTTTCCTGAACTGTTTGTGATAGGGAAATCAACTGCCACACTAGGAGGCAGTGTTAAGAAGAAACCCACTCAACAGAGAATCTACGCCAGCCAGCAGCCATGTGCATGCAATTGGAAGGAGATCTGTATTCCATCTCAGTGGAGCCTTTCAATAATATCACAAGTCCCACTACAGCTTAACTGCTACCTCAAGAAACAACCAGAACTACTCTGTTGAACGTTGAGCTAATTCTTTACTCAATGAAACAGAGATAATGCATATTAAATGTTTTACTCTACATTACGTTTGGGGATAATACATAACCAATGCAGTAACTCAGATAATTGTTAGACAAACTATATAAACACAGAAGTTTCTAAATTAACAATAAATTTATTTATTCTTAATTCTGAGACTTGCTCTACTTTGTTAAAAAAAAAAAAAAACTTTCACAAGTGTAACAGGAAGATTCTCTTTTAGCTGTGTAAGTACCAAACTCCAAACATTAAACGAAATACAAGAGGGCTTGGTGGGCCCTCTATTAGCTTGGTGGGGTAATCTATATTCCCAGGCCTTGGAGGCCAAGTGAAAAGAATGGTAGCTAGGTACAGTAGGAGCTACACAGTGAATTCTAGGTCAGCCTGGAGTACATAGGAGACCCTGTCTGAAAGCACAAAAGGGAGAGCAAACACTGAAATGAACAACAAATTGTATTCAATTGCAATGATGAAGGTAGTGCTTTGAAGAGAACACAGTGGTCCTTAAAAATAAATGTCTCATTTGTAAACGAAGTAGCCACAATTATTAACTAGTAAATACAGACTGCAAAATAAACCTAAAATATATGAAACAAGAATTGCACATTGATATGGCCTTTGTCTGAACAATGCCTATTAAGTACGTACCATGTGGGAAGTGTAGCTTAGTCACAGAAAAGCAACAGTAACAACAACAACAACAACAACAACAACAAAAAGAAAGATAAAGAAACGGAAAAGAACTTAGCCAATTTTATAGTTAGTTTAACAGCTGTAGAAACTAATCAGGAGTGATTCTAAACTGTATGTATTTGGATTCGTATTAATGGAATGTCGTAAAAACTGAAAGCGTGCTTGGGCACCTAATAACACTATAACTAACACGAAGCAACACGTGAACCTGAAGAAAGTAACCTTCGCTCTTCGTCATCTTTCTTTGGGGACGACACCGCGTCTCTGCCCCGAGTCCCAAATCGACCTCTATACCAGTGGCCTAGAAACAGAAAGGAGACCCATGCCCGCCTCTCGACGCCGATATACCATTTTAATAAGTCGCCGCCGCTGTCACTCAAAACGTATTACAGTGCCATTGGTCCTAAACTGTTGCTCCCTGGGCCGGCGCTGCTAAGTGGCAAGCACACCTAGTCTTCTTTTCCAAGAAGAAAAGCGGGAGCGTAGAAGCGGAAGAGGCAAGGCTTTGGAAGTATCTGAGCCGACGCCAGTACCTGGGCGACCTGCGATCTCCCCCGCCGCCGCGACGACTCAGCCTCTGGGCGGGGGCTGTCAGCCGAAAAGAAAATGGCTCAGCCGGGTACTGATGCCCAAGCCATGGAGAGGCCTGTCCAGTGCGCGCGTGTTCACGCTGGAGAACACGGCGGCTGCGAGGGAACCCAGAGCAGCCGCAGACCCCCGCGAGTTCACAGCACCTCAGCCTGCAGAAGCCGGAGTGGCGGATAGTATGTTTTTGACGTTTCCTATTGTTGCCGGAAGTGACGTCGCGGAGCGGCTCCTCATAGAATAAGGATTCACTTTTTCTCATTCAGATTCGCCATAAGGTCTTTATTTTTTTCGCATCTTTTCCTAAAAGATTCTGGCCATCGAGTTATGCTAGTCTGAAATGTGACATCTAGTGTAATGTATATAATTGATAATACCCTAGTGAGAATCAAGTCTCCCGAGAAAGTCTCGCAAACCCCGTGTGGAATCTGCGCCGAGGAATTCCAGACTTTGGGGCCGCCGGTGGCTCGGAAGGTTTAGCCGCTGTTCGCGCCGCGCTCGAACCCTCCGTGCCTAGTCCAAACCGTCGGCGCGAGACGCGCCCCCCGGGCGCGGGAGTTGAGTCTGGAGGAGAGTCGGTCCCCGCCACTCTCTCAGGTTACTTATACTCTCTTCTCCTTTCAGTGTTGTCCGGTCGCCTTGGCACCCCTTCGCTCTCCCTGGCGGCTGCTGGCTGGGGCCGCGCTCGGGAACAGGCTGTGCTCTGGTGTGAATGGAGGTGGCCTGTCTGCTGTGCTCACCGAGGTTCCTGAGCTGAGGGCGAACGACCAGGTCTACGGTTTCATCCTTTTAAGTCTAGCGGCACGAGGGGAATCCTAGATAGGACCTGACTCTGTACACAGATGCTGTGTGCCCTGCAAGTAGGAAGACCACCTTCTTAGAATTGGTTTGTGACTTAAGACTGCGAAGTTATACACTGTAGATGCCTCTTAGATCCTGTCAGCCAAGAATAGATACATGTAGCTCCAGAAAACTGTCGAGAAGAATAAAAATACTTCGTGTTCTCTTTGCTTTGATCTTCATGGTTTTTATTCTAAAGAATTTTCCATCTACTTTTAGGACTACGGTTTTTCTCTCTATATATAAAAAGCAATATTAACCTATTTATTCTTGACTTATGTCTGGATTAGATTTATTTGCAAGCATCAAAAAGGACAGTTTGATATATGAACGCAGCGGTGCCACTGAGCTATTGCTTCCATTCACCCTAGCTGTCTCCACCACCACCATCACCCCACCCCAACCCCCTTCACCGAACCTCTTGTCTTACGACAGCATTTTCCTAGTATCTGTTACGGAGAGACTTTGTAAATTTAATTTCTAGAAATATTTATTCCTCTTTCTAAAAGCTTGGCTTGTAGACAAATCGAGCTGGATCTTAAAATCCTAGCTATACACCGTGATTATTAAAGTTTAGTTACTTTATTCTGAACGAAATGATTTTGAGTACAGTGGTATCTTATGTTTTTAAAGACCTGTAGCAGCTATGAGATCGAGCTGGATTTAAAACGAAACATTTTAAACTGCTGGGCTGGAGATCTAGCTCAGTGGTGGAGCCACTGGGTAATATCCCAAGGCCCTGGGTTCAGTTCCCATTCCTCACCAAAGCCGTGTTGTGCCATTCTCATAACCTATTCCAGAAATTCAGTTGGCAGATTTGATTTGCTCTTAACTCTTCAGAAAACTAGGTAGACTACTTAGACCTTAATGATTGAATCTGAATACTTTCTTCACTTAATGTCCATTGATATGTTAAAAAAATGTATAGTGCTTATTGGCCCCTTGACTAAGATCAAGTGTAAAGCATGTATCAGTACTTGATTAGCTTTAATTAATAATAATAGTTTTAGTATTTACCAATTTAAAAAAAATAGGAAAACCTTTCTTTTTTTTTTTTTTTTTTTTTAAAAGGGCTTTTTTTTTTTATTTTTTTTAAATCTTTTATTTATTTTTTATTAATTACACTTTATTCATTTTGTATCCCCCCATAAGCCCCTCCCTCCTCCCCTGCCAATCCCACCCTCCCTCCCCTTTCTGCATGCATGCCACTCCCCAAGTCCACTGATAGGGGAGGTCCTCCTCTCCTTCTTTCTGATCTTAGTCTATCAGTTCTCATCAAAAGTGGCTGCATTGTCCTCTACTGTGGCCTGGTAAGGCTGCTCCCCCCCAGGGGGAAGTGATCAAAGAGCAGGCCAATCAGATTATGTCAGAGGCAGTCCCTCT